CATCCAAGTACATCCAAACTTGCTCCTCAAACTGGTTTCAGGCTAAACTTGTCCTATCCTCTAGACTTTGATGTAGTGCACACTTCATTTAAACATTATATATATATATTTATTTATTTGCTGTGCATACACAGACCTTTCTCCCTTTTCCCTGCAGAAACATATTAGACATTACAAAAATAATTTGTGGTATAAAAGAATTCTCACACAATGTAGAATTTTTGTTTGTATACGTAACTAAAATATATATATATATTTTCCCCAAAGTAAAAAAGTCAAAATGTCCTTATTTTCCTCTATTATATAGTCTATTTTATTTACAATGTTACGAAACAATATTCTATATGTAAAAGTGATAATAGTTTGTGGGACACTTCCATCTTAGCAGCTTCTCAAGCCGAGCATGGTTTGCAGAGGACTGCAACAGCAGCGCTGTCACAGCGTCAGCAACCAGCACCTTCCTCTGCAACACCAGTTTCTTCCATACTAACTGGAACCAGCTCTTTCCCCTGCGCAACAGGGCGAGTTCCGACAGTCTGCCTTAAAAGTAGCACAAGCGGAATAAAACCTGTGTTCTCCGGTTTCTGTGCTGTGGTATTAAGGGGGATCAGGATTCCTAACAGCGAGGCCTGTTAGGAGACCCGGCAATACGCCCCCGGCAACGCTGCGCTGAGCAGACCTCGAAGCTTCTGCTGCTTCTCCTGAAACCAACAACTTCAAGTGGAAACCAGCAGCGAGCCAGGAGAGCCGAGGAAAACACAGTGGAGTTACTGGGGGGGCACTCACGGACCTTCTCTTTGAAACAAACATACACAAAGATCTCAGCATTTCCATAGGTGTAACTTCATCTAGCATAGTATATTCTGTAAGAAAATTCCAGCTGAAGAATGAGGCAGAATAAAATGTGGTTTTCTTTTCTCTCAAATAGAGAAAACTTGATGATCAGGACTAGCTAAAATCCTTAATCATAATGGAGAAGCCTGGTGCTACTTAACTGATGGTTACACTGGTTTATAGCCATCTCTTAGAACATGCACATATATTTCAACACGAGCCACGTACAATTTCCACCCTTGCTCTGCTAATGCAATCTCATAAGCAAGTCACAGCTCTATCTCAAACCCCACAATTTTAGTTCCTGTGGTATTTCCAGTTTCAAAATGCGACCTCAAACTCCCTCCACCTAGGAAACCAGCCCAGCCAGTCCAATAAATTCATAAAGGGAGTTACACCAGAGAGATACGGAATCCCAGATCCTAAAGTCAAAAATTTTTACCCAGGATATTCAAGGTTAATATTTACCTAAGAACTGCTACATGAGAGAGGAAGGTCCACAATAAAATTCTGCAGCAAAGTTTTTGAAGAGCTACTTCCTCTGAGTCTGAATGGGAAGTGAAATTCAGCGCTTGGAAAGTAACAGCAGAGGTGTTGTACCCGTCATATTCAAGGGAGTGTTCAGAAGAAAAGAGCTGCAATTGCTTATTACAGCTACACCTATGGATGTGCCCGATCGCTGACTTGGAAAAAGCCTCTGCAGTACTGAGCAGAACTGAAATCACATTGACAATGAGAGTTCAAACGCTAGATGAACGGTGAGGAAACTACTTGCGTGACAGCTCAACTGCTGAAAGACCAGTAAGTTAATCAGAGCTTGTCTTCATTAATGAAATAAAAAAATACCAGTTTACAAGAACAGCTTGAGCTAAATTGGTACAAATTTGTAACTATGCAAAAGTTCAGGATTTCCTTCTCTGCTGCGATAGCAAGACACATACCTACATGCATGTAAAATCTGTAACTGAGCACACACGCAATTTGGAAATTCTTTTTAAAAATCAGTTTCTGAATCCTGTTGACAAGATGATCTATAAGGAACCATTACACCAGGGAAGATGTAATACTTTACAATCAACATTTGGTCAAAGTTTGTACGGTCGCGCAGTTCCCCGCAGTAAGATAAGCTACATGTGAGAATTTTTGTTTATGCTTTCTCAAAAGAGATGATCGAAGAGACTGTGTAATAGGCTATTAAAATCATATGGCACTTTCAATAAATACTTTAAAGCTTCTCAAAGAAATCAGGATAAAAAAGCAACTGCTGTAATAAGCCTGTTTTAGCCATAATACATAATGCTGAAGGAAAAAATCCAGAACAGCAAACAGATATTAACAGTTAAAAGACAGTACAGCTTTTTTTCTTTCTGCAGCAATACGAACTGGCTCCCGTTCCCGGGGACGTGGGAGCAAGTTCCCCTCGGAACAAGTATTCGCTCAATCTCAACTGCTCTACGCTCCACCCCAACCCCTACATCACTTCACTTCTACAACATAGTCACATTTTTATATAAAACTCAGTGCAGAAATGTATTAAACATGAAAACATACTGATCCTGCAAACCTTTACCAATATGCTTAACATTAAGTGAGCGCCCAATGTCATGACACCAGAAGAGGCACCCACACGCTTAATGCTAAGCACAGGTATGTCGCAGCATCAGGCCCAAAGATGTCAGCCCCCACGGGGGACATCGCCTGGGTCAAAATGGTATCGTTCTGTCCGGGTTTGTCAAGGTATTCTCAACAGAAGCACATTAAGGAACAGAAACTTCCAAACCTACACACGGAAATACAGTGACATGTGTGTACACACTAATATGCAATATACATTCAGTAACTTGAAAGAATAGGTTAAGACTTTATTCAGATAGACAAATTAAGGCAATTATCTTAATGTCTCTTCAAGATAAAGGACCATGTCCTCATTTGTGACCTCTAAGTTTTAAAGCTATATTTTTCAAGAAATATATTTCAATTTTCTTTATATTTTCTCCAATTAGTGATTTAGTCTGCTTAATAAATTATATCTGTGCAAGGGTGCACACTGATAATTTGGCAGTGGCAAGAAGTCCAATTTGTTTATATAATACAGACTCTTTACATTTTCATTACAGGGTGATTAGTTCAGGACTGCATTTTGGCTTAACACAAAGCAAAATTTAGAAGTTCTGGCCATCCAATGGATATAACTTTGTCACTCTAGCAAGACACAGAGTTCATGTTATATTCAAAGTAAAAAAAAAAAAAAAGAATTAAAAAAAAAGAAAAAAAAAAGATGTACTGTCCTTTCACTAAAACAGACCAAAAAAATAACACAGAATGGAAACAGCCTTCACAAATAAGAGTGAATAATGCCCAGGTACCTTATATAGGCAGTTATTCTACAACTGTATACAGTTATTTACAATGGTGCTTTATAAAACAAACAAAAAAATGGTAGCACTTCCTAAAAGATTTTGGAACTTTTTTTCTTTTTTTTCTTTTTTTAAAACTCCCTTGTCATAAAAGCCAACTTACATTAAAATATACTTACTACAAGACAACACAACTAACAAAATATATAATAAAACTCATACAAGTAGAAAATTCTGAGGTATTTCTGGTTTGAGGTGGTCTGTGGTCATGAAGTTTTTAATTTTTTTTCAGTTTAAACCTCGGAAGCCACGTAACGTGTGTGTGTGTGTTTTGTGGTTTGTTTTTTTTTTTTAGTTTTTTTTTTTTTTAAACATTGCATGTTTTGCAAATTAAAAAAATATTTCACTGTTGAATCAGCAGCATTAGGAACATTCACTGACTAGAGCGAGTTTATGGCATAATAAGAGTAACGGTATTTTAGAATATGCACCACTTTAAGACAAAAGAGTTTCGTCACAGAGTAAGGAGAAAGCAGCGTCAAAGAAATCAGCCGGAGAGATGCTGCGATAATCGCTGCTGCTGCTCAGCTGCCTCTGCATCCTGCAACTGGGCAGTTCAGAGGTGTCTCGGATGCTACAGGAGCCATCTGCCGCCGGTTCACGTATTTCCACACCCCCCCAACCCCAAATTAATAAGGAAAATAATAATAATAATAATTCTAGAGCCAGTTTTCACACTTTTCCTCTTTCCACCATCTGCACCGGTAGCTCAGGCTGACAGATAATCAACCCTAAAGCCGATTTTCCTTAACTGACTCGCACTTCAAGCGAGATGCAAAAATTTTCCCATCTTCCAGTATTTTACCAAAGTGCTTCGAGAACACCCTTTCCCACCTTTTCCAATTACATTGCTTAAAAGCATCCTTCCTGTTACTATCTGGAGTCGAAAAATAAAAGGTAATTACAGTTCTGCTTTGTTCTTTTACCACCCAAGCCTGAGATACTGGAGGAAGAAAGAACTAGCGCCTTGCTTACAACCGCCTGCTCTTTAACTCAGCTTTCTCCGTACGCTGCAGCCATTAATACTCTGCCCAGAAATGTCCTTCCCCTCCTCTAATGGTTACCTGAGAAGTAGCTCCATAGCAAATGATGTTTCCCCAAATGCTGCCGAGTCCAACGTCGCTCTCCCCACCCCTATTCTATGCTCCCCCCTTCAATTCTACCATCAAGAATTAACATTCTCCGCCCGGTTACTTTTTTTTTTTCCATGTTACAATGACACCCGTTAGATCCGTAAAAGACACATCTGCTGTTTTTTTTGAAGCTCACTTCCAAAAAAAAAAAAAAAAGAAACTGAACCCAAAACCAAACGAAAATGGGGAAAAAAGTCCTTTTGAGGAAGGTGTATTCTTTATATAACAGTCTTAAGTTTCCTCCACAGTTTGCAGCATTGCGTTTTCTAAGATGGTGGGTGGTTTTCCTTTATGTCACAGATGCTCCGCTCAGAAGACAGACCGATAAAGAGAAACCCAGAAAACTGAATAAAACAAAAACAACTGAAGTGAGTTTGTTGAGGTTCTGAGGTACCTGCACCTTTTCTGCATTCATTAGTCGGCACCTGAATGCTTGCTGAAATGTCCATTTTTTAATACAGTAGAGCAATGTGCTGGTAAAATTGATCCAATCCAAAAAAATAATAATAATAATAATAACAATAATAATAAAAAGTCAAGATAAAATAGCAGCTGCATTCATGTGTTTGTTGGATTTTTGTGTTTGTTTTTTTTTTTTTTCTGTGTGGGGTTTTTTTTTAAACTTTTTTTCTTTCTTTTTTTTTTAAATCCACTGAGTCTGGAAAGACAAAAGTGAACCAGGACTTAGATACTAGACTCTTTGGGCGGCAAGTCCACGTTGGTGACGGATGTCACGATGGAGACGAGGCAGTCCGAGGTAGTGCCGTTTACGGATTTGCGGATCTGCGCAATGCGCTCCTCGACACAGCCCGCCGAGAGCCGAGCCTCCGCATCGTGGTCCCAGCACTCTTCGATGGTCACGCAGAGCTGCGCCAAGCCCTGTGGACAACAAGGGGGAGAAAGCACCTTCAGCAACAACGTCTGCTGAAGTCCGGGTACCGTCCTTGCAGTAGATGGGGAGGTCCACTTAACACAGTTGTAAAGAAAAACTAAGACTATTCTTTCCACGGCATGCAAATTATCATGAGTTTAGCCTTAAAAATTACTTTCAATATGTGTTTTCAGTTTTTTTGTAAGCTTCTGCTTTCTAAGGCTGTAGGGTTTGGTTTCATCCAGCTTTTTTTCATAGCGTCAAAAGCCCTTTTTTTAATATCAAAGTACACCATGAGATTCAGCAGTTTATGCTTTAAAAGACAAGATATCAAGTATTACGATCCCCATGATAAAACTGTGAGAGCTGGCAGCACTGCATCACTTACTACGAAACCGCTGCTTTATTTGAAATCACTTCTGTAGATGCCCCCAAAATAACCGAATTCAACACTGCTGAAAGAACACAGCTCTTATTTGAGCCCTGCACACCCAGCAACTGGAACACTCATCTTTATCTACAGCCCACAGTACTCCGTGACTTCTAGGTAATGAGTTACTACACCTGAGTCTAGGCACAACCGTGGCAGTTTGGTCAAAATAGAGGTATTTAGCTTCTTACTGAAGCCCTGTGAGATATCATCTGCTTAGTTTCCCAGTCTGAAAAAAAAATCGCCTCTTTTATTAAAAAGGCGAGCCTGAAATGATCTACCTCTGGGAAACCCACGCTGCATTTTACTTCATTGTCTGCGTGCCTTCACATCTAATTAATTTCTCCTCAAAAAACTGCTCAAGTCTTGCACGCTATCTAGCTTGTGAGGAACGCGTCTCCGATGGTATGGATCATTTTCTTTTTCTTAATGAAAGGGACTTCATTTTCCATTCTTTCATCACATTAAATGAGTCCCACTAAACCACCACACACTCCACGTTTGGCACTGGTTGACTCTAACCAGCTGGTTTTCTCTCTAAATACAAGGGACAACTGGAAAGGGGAGCATGAAGGCGTTGAGCAAACCCTCATTCCCCAGCGCTGACTCTCTCTAACACTGGGGTCCGTGCACCGGGTTGGACTGGTTGGCTTCCCTTTGAAGCTAATGAGCGATGCCTAACCGCATCTCTCGTTCCCATCACACAGGAAAACGTTTTCCACTGTTAACCGGGAGGGACGTACGGGGTGTTTTAGCCAGTGATCCTTGAACACCGGGCGCATCTTCTTGTGAACCACCACTTCTTGCAGGTCCTCGAGGGATGGGTGCTGACCTATTTCTTCTTCGAAAGGCAGCATGTATTCATCCACTGGACCTAAGGTGCACATGGAGAACTGGGTTAGTACAGAAATGTCCTCCACAGAGCCACGTCCATCCCGTGCATGAGTGAGCTGCGGCTCCAGAGCAACCTCAACCCACCGCAGCAAAGCCTGAAGTTCACATGTCACTGCAGACAAATGTGATTTACATCCCTTCACACAATGGACTTTGCTGTCCCTGCTGCTTGTCTGGCCACGCATTTTCCACCTCGTCGAGTTACGAATCTGAACCCTCAGCCGGGCCTCCTGATCCCACCACTCTCCTTGAGGAGGCTTGCCGGGTAGTCCATGATTTATTTTAACAGAAAGAGCAAATCAGCCCATCCTCCTCACATTTTAACATAGCAATTCAACACACAATAACCTAAAGAGAGGTTTCAGCATGAGCATAATTTCATTTTCAGCACTGACTAGCAAGGTCAAGCATATACGATGCTTGTAACTTCTTGCTTTGTGATCTGGCTTGTTCATCAGTTTGAGTCAGCCCTGACACGCTGGAGCCAGATGCACTTGTCCCAAGTACCAGTTCCTAAGTGCAAAATGATTTCTGAACGCGTTAGTTGTCCCAGTTATGGCTGTGAACTGCCCTGGGCCACGAGAATAAGACAACTGTTATGAGTATCAGTGCAGACCCTGGACGGCAGCAATAACTTCTGCTTATTGAAACGTCATTTGGCCTTTGGCAATGTGGAGATACTCTCACAAACGGCAGCCCAGCTTAACTGATACGCTTTTTCAGGGTGCTCCACGGCATCACTTACAGTTTCTCGGTAGCAAAAAGTGACCTCTTTCAAGAGCAGAGCTATTTCAAGAAGCCCTTTCCAGACTAAAATAAAAGAGCTGACCACTTTAGCTGGTCATGAACTGTGACACCAACAACACGATGCTTAGGTAATCTAAAAAAATGATATCACTAAAGCAGCTTATCATTATTCTTGTTGACACCATGCCAGTCACTAAGCCAAACTGAAACACTCGTTCCAACAGAGAGCACAGTAATGCTTACGGCCTTCCTTTCCTCTTCCTCCAAGAGGAATCAAGGCTATGAAGAGCTGCACTGGTGATCCCCAAGCCAAATGTGCTGTTTACACAACATCACTTCTGAGCTAGAAGCACAGATGAGGTTCAGCGTAACCCCCCATCATACCAAAGGAACCCTTCCCTCTGATTTAACGGTGCTGTGTATGGCACCTGGAGTATCTCAGCCAGCTGCTGCCTGAAAAGAGTTGGGAGGAAATCACAAACACGACAGGCAAAAATCCAAGTGGATATCTGGGGGGACCTCACAGAGAAGGGTTATTCCTACATGAGTGATCTGGGTATCACTGTTTCCCCTCACTGTGCTCCCACCTCCTTGCTCCTCTGGCATTTTATCTGGTTATATAGGAGATTTTTGAAGAAAAGACATTCTCTTACCACACACCTATGCAGACATCCTAATTATAATCAAGCTCCGCGGTCCTACTGTAACACTAACAAAAACATTTGAAGTCCAGGTGAGGTACATTAATTTATGAACTTAATATTCAGTCCAGAGCACCCCTACCTACACAAGAAGAAAGAAGTTGGAGCAAGCAGCCTTAGAGCTACGACAACGACATGATTGCTTCCCCAACCGGGGGCAAGATCCTGCAAATGGCAAGGGTGTCACCAAAGAGCAGATGTGCTATTTGGACAGAAATCATGCCCCACTTTGCAGCATCGTTTTAGGATTAAAACTCTGAGAAAGAGGACACCATGAAAGTTCATTCTTTTAGATCACCCAGAGGAAAGTGAGATCCTCCAGAGCTGTAAATGGAACAATAAACTCAGCCCGCTGCTGAAAGAGGACTACATCAGCAAAAGTCAAAGATTAATACCTAATGACTTCTGATAGCAGGGAAATGGGCTTGCTGACCCAAAAAGATCCCTCCAGCCCTGTGTTCCTGCTGTTTCACCGAGGTGCTTCACTTCTTTTAGCAGCGCCTGTTGCAGCAGGACAAGGGCTAATGGCTTTAAACTAAAAGACGGTAGATTTAGACTAGATTTAAGGAAGAAATTTTTTACAATGAGGGTTGTGAAACACTGGCCCAGGTTGCCCAGAGAGGTGGGAGATGCCCCATCCCTGGAAACATTCAAAGTCAGGTTGGACGGGGCTCTGAGCAACCTGATCTGGTTGAAGATGTCGCTGCTCATTGCAGGGGGGGTGGACTAGATGGCCGTTAAAGGTCCCTTCCAACCCAAACCACAGAAAGCAGCACAGAGCAGGCTCAGGACTAAAGGACACCCACCACTGATGGAGGAATCCTCTCCTCCTCCTCCCTCGGTGTCCTCAGCCAATTTGCAATGTAACCGGCGCAGTTAAAAGCACTTTAACACTTGAACACTACAAAGCTTATTACCTGCAGAGAACGACAGCTTATGTTAACAAACAAGCAAGTGAAAAACAGGTTAGCTACTTAGTAAAAAACCGCCATTGATTATTATTATTTTTTAAACAAAGCCAGGCCCATTCTCTGGAGCATTAAACCACACTGAAACAGAGCCCTCCCCCGGGAAAAGCCGATCTTTAGTCTTACCATCAACTGCTCTACATCTGGAGACTAGCTCCCACAACACCAGTCCCATTGCATACATGTCTATTCTCAGGAAGGCGTCTCGTTGGAAGTTGATTGCTCCCTCTAACACTTCGGGAGCCATATACCTCCTTGTTCCCACCTACAGAGAAAGAAACAACTCAAGTTACATTCCAGTTGGGCCCGTCAGCCTCCGCTGGTTGGAGATGAGTGACAGCTGGTTTCATTAGCCTGAAGGCTACTTCTGCTCAAGTTGCACCTCACTCGGAAAACAAAGAAAAAAGGGCTGTTTTTTTCTGACACCAATTCTTATTAAGATCACTCGAGTCTAGATGGGCTACCTGAAGGAAAATGCCACAGCGCACGGCTATGTGTGTGATACTCATTCAGTGTACGCTACAGGTGTAATTTAAATGCAGCGCGGCACGGTGAGTACGGATGAAATCCTGCCTTCCCTGCGTCCCACCGCCTCTTGCTCCAGCAGCACACGCTGCATGAGAAAATGCTGTCTCTGGAGGCACACAAAACACCCTGAGGTCAAGTCAGACTTGGTCAGCACAGTCATCGAAAGTTCAATCCCCTTTCACTAAAAAAAAAAAATTAAATATATATATATATTTAAAGAAAAAAGAGAAGAGTGAAATTGATATATCCTAAAATGGTAGGAAAAGGTGTTGGTTTGACAGCCCTGGATAAAGCAAGTCTCCTGCATCCGCAGGAGTAGTAAAGCATGAACCCCGCAAAGTCTACCCGGCTCTGGGTTGCCATGATCTGGTTTGGAAAAGATCCCTTTTTGCTTTGAGGGAATTCAGTCCTCATTATAGTGTCTACCTTGTTGTGTTTAGTCCAGGTGGAGCCACACTGAGCTCTTCATATAGTTGTGGTAATACATGTGGCAGAATTACAGCCCATAACGTCGGAGAGCGGAGAGGAGAGCAAGGAAAAAAGCACCTTCGTAACATGGGGATTGAAATGCTTTTAATATTTTCCTTTAGGAAATTCTCATCTCTTCTTGCTGTTACCTGAGGTGGTGGGGACAGGGGGAAGCCAGGATGTGAAAAGGCATAGAAAAAAAATGGAAAAGTCTAAAAAAAAAGAGGGCAAAATGAGGAAAGCCACAGGGGCTAACCCAGGAAAGTGTTCACTCCTTCTGGGATAAAGGTAAAAAGGGAGTTTGCACTGGAGACAGGCATTCAAAAAACCCCGGAGGCACACGGAGGGGATGGCACGTGCCCCAAGACGAGAGCAGAATGAGGTGCCGCTCACCGCAACGCAGAGGCAGAAAATTAGGAACTCGTAAAAACGTTAGTAAATTGTTTACGCAGCGCTCAGCCAGCTCGCAAGATCTGCCGTTGCTAAAGGTCACCCAAGCAGCCAGCCTGGCCGAGTTCTTAAAAAGAAATGAATAATTTTAGGAGTAGTAATACTTAATACGGAGACAATGAAGAGTCAGCAAGTCCCATGTCTGAAGGAAGGAGCCGCCTGCCCCCGGGGCCGGGGCACCCCACCTGCACAGCCGTCGGGAGACTCCGAGCACTCTCCCCGCTCACCCAGATCAAAGCAGCTCCTGGAAATTTATGTCTGAGCACCAGCTTTTATGGAAAATACATATCTTGAAGAGAATTAAATGCATCTATACAAACTATCCCCCCACTCCCGAGGAGCTATGGCAAGCCCAACTTTTTCAAAATGTTATTGTTAAAGATAATGATTACCTGTCCATGAGTGTCCCCTGGAGGTTTTCCAGGTTCAAACCGTACAGCGAGTCCGAAATCGGCGAGCACTGCCGTCAAGTCGTTCTTCAGCAAGACATTTTTACTCTTGAAGTCCCTACGGACAAGCCAAGAAGCAAGTTTGGGAAGGGGTTATTATGCCACGTGTCTAAATCAAATTGTAACACGTTGTAAGTCTACTGGCTCAGCAGCCCCCAGTAAATCAGCTCCCTCCTTCCTTCCACGGCTGCCCAGAACAGCCAGCGCTGCCTAATTCGGCTGCTCCCCGCTGCCTGTGTCCCTAAAACACAACCAAGCAGCCCTGTGCTGCCTTGCACAGAGGCAGCCAAACTTTACAGTGAATTAACCTCAAAATAAAAGCAAGGAGTGATATGAAGGGGGTGCTTTAATTAGAGCAGGGAATATAACGTACCATTCCATGCTCTTGAGTACCAGCTATAGACCCCCACCTCTGGGCACTTCTTACATTTCTCACTCCCAACAACAAACGCAAGACAGTTTAAGAGGGTGAATTTACTCTCTATTCTGGTAAGGATGTTTGCTCCTATCTATAAAATTAGATCTTTCTGGAAATTAGCAGATGCCAGTGGGATTCTGTTCACCCTGACTACACACTTCAACAGACTTTTGCCATAGTTTTCTATTACATTTATAACATCTTTGTCAGCGACATGGATTTTGGGATGGAGGGCACCCTCATTGAGCTTGCTGATGACGCCAAGCTATGTAGAGCAGTCGACATGCTGGAGGGAAGGGATGCCATCCAAAGGGACCTGGACAGGCTTGAGAGGTGGGCCCATGCCAACTTCATGAAGTTCAACAAGGCCAAGTGCAAGGTCTTGCACGTGGGTTGGGGCAATCCCATGCACAAATACAGGCTGGGCGGAGAATGGATTGAGAGCAGCCCTGAGGAGAAGGACTTGGGGCTGTTGGCGGATAAGAAGCTCAACGTGAGCCGGCAATGTGCGCTCACAGCCCAGAAAGCCAACAGTATCCCAGGCTGCATCAAAAGAAGTGTGGCCAGCAGGGCGAGGGAGGTAATTCTGCCTCTCTACTCTGCTCTGGTGGGACCCCACCTAGAGTACTGCGTCCAGCTCTGGGACCCCCAACAGGAGAAGGACACGGACCTGTTGGAGCGGGCCCAGAAGAGGGCCACAAAGATGATGAGAGGGCTGGAGCACCTCTGCTATGAAGGCAAGCTGAGAGAGTGGTGGTTGTTCAGCCTGGAGAAGAGAAGGCTCTGGGGAGACCTTGTAGCCCGTTCCAGTACCTAAAGGGGGCTACAGGAAAGACGGGGAGGGACTCTGTCAGGGAGTGTAGCAATAGGATGAGGGGTAATGGTTCTAAACTGAAAGAGGGTAGGCTTAGATTAGGTATTAGGAAGAAATTCTTTGCTGTGAGGGTGGTGAGACACTGGAACAGGTTGCCCAGGGAAGCTATGGATGCCCCATCCCTGGAGGTGTTCAAGGCCAGGCTGGATGGGGCTTTGAGCAACCTCGTCTGGTGGGAGGTGTCTCAGCCCACGGCAGGGGGGTAGGAACTAGATGGTCTTTAAGGTCCCTTCAAACTCTAACCGTTCTGTGATTTATATTTTAATTGCTGGACTGATCTTCCCTGGAGAATTCGGAGGGTTGGAAAGTAACCATGGGAGGGGGTGAGCCCACACTCAGGCGAGTTGTCGGGATTGGACCAGGCAGCTGATGGGCGGGAGTGAGCATTTGAAGTAGAGATGGTGGGTCTGTGCTTGAAGGTGGCATTAAGGGGACATTTGGGTCAGTCTTGTGCCACAGAGGGATCATTTTAGGGCAGCTCAGGTAAATCGGCAGGGGCTGGAAAGCAGGGCGGAGGAGGGTCGAGATGCCTAACCAGTGGAGCCCTGTTCCCTGGGCTTCCCGCATTTTCATCTGAAAAGGAATGTTTGGCAATGTAATTAAATTACAGACCTTAGACAGCAGATGGCAATTGTCCTGTATGCTCAGCATTATAATTTCCCTATCATCAATTCACTCGGTGACCCTGCTGATTGCAGGACATTGCAGGCCTGCACAAAATAATTAATGAGGGCAGATACAATTGTTCCACACTAGAGAGACCTGTCAAAATTCTCTGGGAAGAGAGAAACTGCTGGACCATAGAGAAGGACTGCTCTCTGCGGCCTCGGATGCCAGAGCACCAGCTCAAAGCACCGCAAGCAAAAATCATTCTGTACCACCCAGCCCCTGATTCTGAGCTTCAAAGAAACAGAAGAAAGGATTTTTCCTTTCTAAGCTAAACACAGCGTGATGGGCATTGCTGGCTGGAGGATTAAGATGGGGAAATGGGGATGAAGTTGGAGCGCATCATACAGCCAGGGAACCCCAGCAGAAACCAGCCTCCATCACCTCAGGGGGACACATGGGGTTTCTAGGGACACAGCATAGTTTTGCAGAACCTGCAAAACATCTGTAGCCCTCTGTTAAACAGAAAAACACCATTTACCTAATACCTGTCATCTTAGAGACTGACTGCTTCCACGCTATAGCAGTTTCCCCACAGGCTTAGAAAACAGCCATCATCTAATGACACAGATAAACTCCTTTGCTCGGTCAGTATTAAGGGATTATGCCCTCCAGAACGGTACAGATTGTGCACGAGATTTCTGCAAAACAGTGGCTCAGTGAGGACCACACAGAAATTATTAGACAGTCCTGAACAATATGTTTCCAACGTGAAGTGAGATGTAAACCAGTATTATTGTATGGGCTTTTGTATGATTGTATGGGCTGCTGTTGTTCACCCGCACTGCCCTTCGGGCATGCAACAGTTAACTGCTACATCTTGATAGGTGATGCAGGGATTTCCCTTTGCCCTTCCTTTTTTCCCCCTATTTCCATATATTTCCCCATTTTTCCACGCTTCCCTTCCTTCCACAAACCTCCTTGAATTGACAAGTGTGAGCTGCAATGCAAACATATCCAGGACAGGGAGAAAGACCTGACCCAAGCCGTGCTAAGCAGACTTCCCACTAACACCACATGCATTAGACCATCCTAAAATGGCCACTGATAAAGGAAAGTAGCCTGAAAAGAAGAAAATCTCTTTTTCCGTGTCATGCTTCAAACTAGGCAACAAGAGAGCGAGCGGACTATGAACGATGGGTGCGTTAACTGCATTCAGACACCGGAGATTTTATTTTCAGCTTCCACGCGGGGGCACTTTCGCACCAACAAGCGATCCCATAACCTTAATCCTCCTTGTAGTGCCGGGGGCCAGTAAGGAGTTAGCTGAACCCCTGCCCAGCGCTGACTGGGAGGGTCCCACCTTCACATGCGGTGTGTGAAGCCATTCAAAAATACTCCCCCCCCCCCCCATTTAAAATGTATTTGGTGTTTTCTTTTAAAACAAAAATAAAACGAAAAGGAGTGGGGTAATCCCAGGGAAATCCTGTGTCCTGAGATCCTTCTTCCGTAGGTATGTGCTAAATTCACACAAATGGTGCATTCTCCATCTTTTATCATTTGCTAAATGGATGGGGACACTAATGAGCACGATCTGTTGCTTTAAAGCCTTTCTATAGCCTTCCTCTGTTCCCCACCCTCAGGAATTTTCATGTATAAACCACTGCCTTTATTCCACAGGGACAAATGTCAGGGACACAGGGGTCAGCTCCAGGAGCAGCACAAAGGCAGCTGCAGGCTCTTTCAACAGCCCTCAGCTCTCAGGAACCTTCACGTTTGAGGAGGGGGGTTGTTTTGGGGGCAGGGACAACCCTTGCAAACCCAGGGATTATCTTGCCATACATGAAGACAGCCCCGCTAGATGGGGTACAAATTGCTGCAGCTGGACGTGGGGTTTAAGTCCCTCCTAGATGAAATGTGGTGGGTGGCGGGGGAGTATGGCCGCGGATTATGGCGTGTAGCCCACGTAAATCCCTTCTGGAAACCCCCCCCCGTCCTGCTGTGCCACTAGCGAACCGCTCAGTAGAGATGCTTTAGTCCAGGGCAAGCAATGTGGGACTGCGGAGAAGGGCTAAAACAAGTATTGGTCTAATCAGGATGGTTTAACCCACTTCTTTCTGGATTTTTACTGTCCCCACTGTGCTGCCACACAGCAGGGTTGAAGCAGGTGCCAAGAGGTCTCAAGAGGCAGCCTGGTGTCTCCTCTGGTGTCTCTCACAAGCATCCTGCCATGATACGGGCACTATAAAACCACTGTGAAGAATAAATAGCAGCCATTTTCTGCATTTCTACAGTTTCTCCACTTCTTACCTAATGATCAAAAGCTCTGTGGGAAAACACGCAGTGGAGTTATCAGTCTAAAACACTAAGGAGAAAAATAGGGTCCAAATCTTGGTATGGTCATAGAAATACACGGATTATAATGTGATTTATCAAGCATAGTCCCTTCAAAGAGCAGTTCTGCAGCAACCAGATTTCCCTTCCTACTACATGCCAAGAGAAGAGTTGATGGACAAGGGAAGCACCTACCCTTCAGACATTTGCCACCCATACCGACTGTTTCACAGACAAGACACTTACTTGCCCTTTGCCATTTCATATGTAGATGAAAAAAAAAATCTCGTCTTAGCATAGGACTTGTTGGGTTAAAAGGCATCTACTTCCCAAAAGCACAACCTCCTCCTCCTCCATTCAGCAGCATCATTTCAAAGAGGTTGTGAACATTTGAACACAGCACTTCAATGGCATCAACGAAAGAGGCCGTACCTGTGTGCTATAGCAGGTTTGTGTCCTTCACCTTTGCACCAAGGGACATCTTCATGAAGGTAGGACAAGCCACGGGCCATTGTTTCTGCGACATGGCAGAGCTCATTCCAGCTGATAATATTGCCCTTCAGGTAATCCGTCAGAGAGCCCTACGAAACAGGACATCGCATGTTCTTAATCGCAGACCCTGCTATGTGACAGATGTGCCAACTCATCAGTTTAGAAAATGGTTTTAATGAGCGCTTGAGAAATCTGAACCTTGATTTAACAGGGGAGAAAAGAATCACTAGTGAGAGCAAAAAAGAAGAAATAAAACCTAGAAGCGTTCGTGAGTCCTCAGCCATTGAAAGCACAGAAAGTATCTGGATGTCCAAAAAGGAGTCTACTAATCTGGCAGGGAAGGAGAGGGAGATAAGGAAGGTACAAAATCATCTCAAAACAGAGCAATTCATCTAACCTAAGAAAGGGGAAAACCTTCCATGCAAGAAGGTGATGTATTGTATCAGCTGGTTGTGGCAATGATTGACTCAGTAGACCTTGGATTAAACAGAGGGATAACGCTGCTGGCTCAACCCCGGATTTGTGCGTGTTTGTTTTGTTCTAAGTGTTAGTCATGTTTGATAACTAAAGCAATCCATGAAAAGGGAGATATGCCCTGAGCTTCAAAAGCAAACACGGAGCCCATCTGCAAGGGGTGAGCTGGGACTGTGACGGTCTGTGACCCCCGGCTCCTACGTCTACATCTATGCACGTTAAGAGATGGTGACCACCACATACGTGAGCTGTGGCCTTTTGTGCCTCTCTCTCTCCCCAGGTCCCACCTTTATTAATCCTTTGTGTAGGAAAGCCTTGAAAGCTACAGGAAGAGCCACTGAACGAGGGGAGCAAGAGCAGCTCTCCACTACCACTGAGCCACGGCTCACAAGGGACAGCCTGGATAGATGACAGGGGAGCTCCTGGGAGAACATTAGACACCAAATCCTGCTGCTTCACAACCATCGCCTCGCTGTCTTCCCAAAATGTACGTGCAACGATACATTACCTTGTCGTGGAAAGCTGTGATCAGCCAGAGCTCTGTCTCTAGGTTTGTCCCTCTTTTCTCTGCTGCGATAAATTGCAAAAGGTTTTCATGCTTCATGCCAGGAGTATTGAAAATCTCCCTCTCGCTCTGCCAAGATTGCTTATCCTAAAGCAGGGAGAAATGCACCATCAAAGATCACGCTTCCCTTTAAAGCAAACAGCTCCTTCAGCTCAGTCAGAGCTGCTCACGTTCCTCTTACTATCATCCTCCAGTGTTCGGATGTGATGTATCCCTTCAAAATGAGGCTTTTTTCTTAAAGGGTAGATGCTGGAGAAAGACTGGAAGTTGCTGTTCTCAGTCTCCCTTCGCCAAAATTACCCTCAGCTATTCCTAAAGGACCTGTGTGGGGAGGGGGGAGGAATCCAAACCCAACCTCACTGAGAAATAAGATTTATCAAGATTTCCTAAGGATGCTTGCAAGAATAAAGCCTGTGCACACTGTGTCCAGATCTGCATTGTAGCTGTAAATGTTATGATTGCAAAATCTAATCTAGGCTCTATTGAATATTTACTAGTAGGTCACAGCTGGCTTGGACAGAAGATGTGCAAATCTCCTTTAGCAACGCTATGACAACAAATACGGGGCGAAAAATTAACGAAGAAGGAGATAGCAGAGGAGCACAAAGATCTTTCAGTCATTCTTCTTTCATTTGACTTTTGATTGCTCTACTCTTTCCATCTGCAATTCCTAGAGAGTCAAGTCAGGAGTGTTCAAAGGTTTCCTAGAGCAGAAGATGCGAGCTGACAGAAACGCTGCAGTGCAATTAGGTTTCACAGCGCCTGGGCTGAGCCTTTGTAAGCTGCAAACTCTTTGCTAGGTTCGGGTCTGGATTTACAATCCACCCAGGCAGGACACACAAAGCCAGGGCTTTGGTCCTTTGTGTGCACTTTGGGCATCGCAGCTGCACGCTGCTTCGCTGGACTTTAACAACACGGACATTTGCACCTAACTTAAAATACCCTGTAGATTTCAAAATGTGCTTGTTTTTGCCCTTCTTGCAATAACTACTACTGCAGGAAGCATTTGGTAATGGGATAACACAGAGAAAAGTGTAGGAAGGGAAGGAGGGTCCTTGAACTTTTTTTCCCCAGCAGAAGAGTCCAAATGCATCTTTGTTATGGTCTTAAAAACACCTCCATAAGCACTTAGAGCATCTCAGCATTGGTGAGGAAGCCCAACAAGTGAGAACCTAATGCAATGCCCTTCTCACCTGAATAGGGAAGATTTTCACTGCTACATAGTCATTCATCAGCTGAGCCTTCCACACGCAGCCAAAGCGTCCCCTCGCCTTGATCTCCAAAAGCTGCAGAGGCTTTAGGCCAACCAGAGGAGAAGGGGGTGGCGGGCCGGGGTCCTGCACGAGAGAAAAACACTGTCACGAGCTGAAGCTGGACTGCAAAACAAAGGGAGGGGAGGGATGGACCGGCTGCGTGAGGGGAAAGAGGCATAAAGAAGTGACATTTTCACAGAATTCACAGAATTCACAGAATTGTTAGGGTTGGAAGGGACCTCTGGAGATCATCTAGTCCAACCCTCATTTGTATCCCATACAAATTATTTAGATGTACTGTTTGCAGCAAGAGCAGCCCAAAATTCCCTGTCTTGCTTTGCAGGCTATTCGTATAGAACATATATAACAATCTATGCTTCCAAGTGTCACTTTGTGTGTGAAACCGCTGCCTGCCATCCTCAGGCAAAACCTGAATTCTCCTATGTTTTCAAAGCAAGAGCTATTTTGGGCTGTAAAACACTGATGACCTCAAGGCTACCTCCTGCCAAAAGCAGGAACTTTTTGATCTTTGTGACCCAACAGCCAACTACACCTAAAACCTCCCACTGCTTTGCACTTCGTTAGACGTGTTTCACATAACCCTACCAATGGGCAGTAAACAGGTCTGTCAGCATCATAAAGATCGTATCTGTTTAAACTCGGCATTTGTCCAGGAGAACAACGCAACCCCACAGGACGCGTGGGGTCGGAGCTCTGTCCTAGCTGCTTTCAGATGGGAAATGTTCACAGTATGGGCTGCAATGGGCAGAGGAGGAAGGGAGAGGTACCTGCTCAGCCCTTCAGAAGAAACCAGAAGGCTCGGGGCGCAGCAGAGCCAGCAAGGACCAGTTCCCGATGGCTGTGGGCCATGAGGATGACCTCTTGCTTGCATTCTCTGATGGCTCATAAAAACTGAGCTTCAACAGGGAAAGCATCTCCTCGCACCCCACAGGTAGGAACTTTATCATCTCTATGATCTCTGCTCCTCTGCAAAGTTGGCTGAAATCAGGGGAGGGGTTTGAGTGTTTGGGGGGAAGGGAAGCCACCAAGCAGGGCTGTGTAACTCCATCCCTTAGGAAGTTTGGACATTGTGATAACCCCATCTTAAACTCATGAGCCTCACAGGGGATGCTAACACTGCCACAGAGGGCAATTGTACCACCAACTTCAAAAAGATAGAGAAGAAAAGTTAGGCCACCCGAAAAGAGCGAAGCAAAAGTGGATGTGAACTTATACTGAGCAGCCTCCGGGCCTTTTTCAAGGCCCAAATACAGGGGAGCAACTTGGAAGAGCCCACGGTTTCTCCCTCACCTCATTAATGTCGACGTGCCCGTAGGGAGGCTTGCGGTGACGGTACATCCAGAAGGCCAAGAGGATGGCCATGGAGAGGACAGCGATGGGGAGCAGCGAGTACACCAGGATGTTGAGCAGGGAGGGCGTTGGTGGCGGCGGCTCGTATATGACTGCGAGAAAAGAACAGGGTAAACAAGGGAAAGGACCCTTCAGCACTGCCAGCTACACGGCCAGATGCAACCAAACCCCATCCTTCCTTCTACTCCAAAGCTGACAATGCCTAGTGGCATGTCCCGTCACATCCAACACTATTCATACAGCTCCGCGGTTTACTCTTTTCCATATGGCTATTACTAATGGAGTTACAATGGTCCAAACCACACTTTGCAAGCTGAGCCTCCATCTGACCTTTATTTAAGATGGGTATTTCTTGCTGGAGTACATAAAAGCAGAAAATTTCCTCCTTTTAACTCTTCCAAATGTATTAAGCAAGCGCAAAATCCCTCGCAGCGTTGCTTTGCCTTTTACAGTGATTGACAAGATGTCAGTTTTTAGTAAAATGCTGCCGGAGCCACAATCAAATGCACTATTCCCACAGTAGTTCTTGTTCCAAATTACATCAGTGCAGTTGAGACACAAACAATGGGAATACTAAATGGAGCCATGTTGCTATGTTGGAGACAGGGAAGGAAAAAATAGCAAGACTTGCCAAATTAAACAAAAAACTGTGAGAGAAAGAATATTTGCTACTAGGTTGCTACGGGTACATTAATAACAGGAGATAATAAAACTCATGTAAACAATTAAAAACCTAACAGGAAAGCCCATGAAAATCTGATAATGGTCTACTGGAACATCTCAGTAAATGCAGGTACTTGATAGCAAAATAAACCATCCTAAGGATAAGATCCACCTGCTTTAATAATTTTTATTGAATGATGCTTTAGCAAGCCTACAGCTAAGAGAATCACCATTTTTCTATTAGCCTCTGAAGAAGGACCTGCTACTCCTTTTCATCCTTGAAGTATATCCACAAACTCTGAAAGCTGACACACATACCCACTCCCCTTCAAACCCCAGACCAAGAAAAAAACAATCAAATGCAAAAATCCTTGATGCTGAAGACATTTGGAGACCTATGACCTATGAAAATTAGTGTAGAAGGTGTCAAATACCTTTTAAGAGTTTGAATTGATCCATAGTGTATAAATCACACCGCCCTCTTCCCCTTGTGTGGGACTTTATTTTGTAAGAGCCCTCTGTGAACATCCACCATGAAGAAAATTTAATCCTTACTGATGGTGTATGAGGTGTTGGTAAAACACACTCTACGACAGAGTGAAACAGCATAAAAAAATCTATTCTTGAAGAATCCCAGCAGAGGATTTCTGGACTTTGTAACCAAAATGGTACTTCATGTCCTGTCGGATGTATTTTTTAGCTCAACATGCAACAAGTCAAAGTCATCACAAACTGGATCAAGAGGAAGAGACCCCAACTCCCCATCCACCCAGTCACTCACCTTCTGGGCCGGTGACTTCAGGCAAATGGGTAAACTTCTCATTGCAATAGTTGCCCTCGCAGCAGCAGAAAAACACTTGAGGGTTTTCTTCTGTGGCTACACACTCCTGCCTGCGTCAGGGAGCGACGGACACAGCAACGAAGGGAAGAGAAAAAACAACATCAGCCAACTCCTGCTTCAGCTTTGGGAGCCGACCTGCCCCCAGTTGTCTTCTCCACACGCCTTCTCCTGCTGTTGCGCTGTACAGATCGGCAGTCTCCACTTACAGAAAACAACTTGGCACTCAAATACCCCAGTGGATAGCAAAGACCCTTGAAAAGACCGTAAAGGAAACAAATGCTTCCATATGTACCAAAGGCATTAGATGGCGAGTAATAAATAACAGTCGCCGCCGCTAACTGAATGAGAAGCAGAAAAACGATGGAGAGATGCCTCATTCCTTGAACAGTGTTTTTCCCGCAGCCCGTATGTATGCTGTCAGGGGAGAGGAGCATTTGATCATGCAATTAAAGACTGTGCCATAAAGCACGTATGACCAGGGCTGAGCTCAGACTGCTCTCCCAGCCTTAAGCATCACTACACGCACTAGAAAGGCACCAGACAGCAGCAGCAACAACAGTCCTGACACAGGCAGGGGGGAGGCTGCGGGTTTTGAGGTTTTTTTTTTAAACTTTAATTTTCATGTGCCATCTCCTTCTCCTTTAAAAAACTTATTCCTGCACAAAAGCCTTTATGAAAATCAGGTTGCAGCTCTCATTTTTCGTATCTGCCTGTTATCCAGGTAGCGCTACAGCCTTCTCAGCACTGAGGTTTCCTTCCACACTGTGCAACGCGTTAGGGGACTTCTACGGATCACACCAACTCCACTTCCACACATCCTCCCTCTCCCACAGATCAATGCCAAAGAGATGTGCAGTGATTTTTGCCGTGCTCTAGCAGTCGTTTTTCTCTTCCTTCAATGTCTGCTTCCCTTCCCTGCCACCTTTAGCTATGATACCCTCTGCTTTTAGCTAGTCGGGTTGCAGAGCTGCTCTCCGCAGAGAACTGTATCAAACTATTTCCTGAAGCCCAGCTAAATTATATGCATAACTTCCTTCCTTTGACCACTCGGAGGAAGTAGCAAAACAATCATATGTGTTTGACATTATTACTCATTTATGAACCCATGCCAAGCCTCCCTTTCTGTGGTATCACTGACATACTGCCCAAAGAAGAACGGAAAAGGCTCTCTTCAATCATAACACAGGGTAGTTTTTGGTGCTTTATTCCTTTTGGGGGAAAAAAACAGCGGCTATAGCCGAAACGTCTCCTGCAAGGTCTCAGCTGGGAAGCACTTGGTTTGTTTTGCAGGCTTTTATTTTTTCAAACTTCAAAGAAAAAAAAAAAAAGCAGCTATTTGACTTATTCAAATGAACAAAGATGTTTCAACAAGTTAAGCAATGTTTCCAGATGCTTTTTCGTGAAATCAGATAACAAGCTGTTTGGATTTAACAGCATCGGTATTGGAGTCTTCAATAGAAAACACATCCTTTGCTAAATCTGTTGGTTAAGAAATCAAGCTAATGAGCGAAAACAGCCTGCTCCACATCTGCAATTCATTATCCCTGTCTTTGAGTTGGTGTGCGCGCAGGGCAGCCATCCAGGTACATATGACATGTTATACTTAGCAAATATTACAAATGAGACAGTGGGAGAGAATGACACATTTTTCTATGGCAGCAAGGGCACGTTTCGTAGCGGTTCACGTGCTCTTCAAGGGAACGTGACCACGACCTCTCCGGTGGGGCTGTGTAAATACAGGAAGAGCACACGAGTTGATTTTTAAACACTACCTTTTTCCTATAGCCTTAAATGTACATATGCCACGTTCTTGTTTCCTTAAGATAAAGAACAGAGTAAGGAGCCATCGCCCTCAGCATCCCAACCCTTGCACTTCTGAAATTTTCACCATTCCCTGCATGCAGGGGACACATGCAGATACAGGTACAGGTGCATCTCCCAAGGCTGCACCCAGGAGCTCAGCATCCAAAGGTGCTGAAGACAGAGACAGAAAGGGCATCAGCACAGCACCACCGATCAAAAAATCATCTTTTTAGCCATTTTTGCCATCTTTGGATGCAACACTACCTTCATGAAAGACTGCTGAAGGCACTCAAGGGAAGGGGGGGGTGGAAAAAAAGACTCCATTTAAACAACCTTTATTTAATTAAAGCTAACCTTTATTTCAAATGTTGCTTTCAACACTTGTACTGTTTGTTAATTCTCAGAAGATCTTTTAGCTTTGCCCTGGAACTGCGGCTTTGAAGAATCAGGCTGCAGGATAATGGATGCTCAACCCCAGGGCTGCAAAAAGGCGTGTGAGAAGCCCTGGAAACTTTTTACTGTTGTAACAGAGCAACACATTATGACAAAGTTTAAGAACCACTACATCCCTGCACAGAGACACTCAGTGACAATACAAGTGTCACTGTATACAAGAGCAGGCACTGAAAGGAGAAATCTGTTTACAGTAAACACTTCTGCTTGGAAGTAGGAAACTAGAGTGACCTTCTGTTCTCAGAAGGATCGGCATTAAGATGACTAATGGGCCAAGGAGGATTGATTTATCGGGAAAGAATAAAAATTTAACTATATATAGAGCTTGGCTATGCAACTGGCAAGGGAATAGGTGTGGTGGGAAAGTAACCCCGGCGCTAATAATAGAATGAAGATGAGGAACGACTCACAGTCAGGATAAGTGAAGAGAATCGGCACAAAAGCAGGGACAGCATACAGCGCCGAAGGGAGAAAACTCTCCAGCCATGGGACAAATCTAGTCCCAGCTTAAGCCCCACAACTTCAGACCCGATGTCCTAAAACTTTTGGAATGAGAAGCTACAAAGATGCGCAGCTGGGAATTGCACAAAGGTGAGATCAACTTACATTGGTGTTAGATCAAGAAAAATCCTTGAATTCTATGTTCTGTTAATCCCTATTGAAAGGGTCGGGTTTGGGTTGGTTGGCTGGTCATTGGGGTTTGGTTTTCTTTAACAGAAACTGAGTCTAGAGCTACTGAACATTATCCTTTTAAACCGAAACTTCAGAGGGCTGTTTTCTTTAGCTGTAATTCTTTTCCCTTCTGTAGAATTGCACCAAGGGAAATGAGAAAAGACTAGCTTATTTTCCCAGCTATTAAATGAGGCTGGAGCCTTCGTACTGCATAACCTCGCTCCTTTTCAGCTCACTATGGGCAGCGACACACAAACACGCCTATTGCTTTTGCTGCCCCTCTCCTGGCCCGTCTCTTAACTCAGCCAAACTTTTTGCAACATCACAAGCGCCAGAATATCTCAACCTCTAAACACCCCCAGATATCTGTGCTTTTCTAGAGAGCTCCGAATGATTCCAAGTTTTCCTTTGTATCGCCAAATGCTCTTGGAAGAACATATTGCTCTTCATTTGATGGTACAGGACACGTTTCTCAACGCATGCCAGAATTATCAAAGCTTTGCTAAGGAAAAAAACCCCACAACAACAAAAAAAATTCCTAAAAGCGCCTTTTGCAGCTTTTATTTAGAAAGTCGAGACAGATAAGTGACAATTCTGAGCACTGCATTAGCAACAGAAGTAATTACAGGGGATGAATGGGCCAATTGACTTGGACTTGCTTTCTTTTCCTCGATGCAAAAATCATGAGCCTTTGCACTTAAGAGGAACAATTAAACCTGTATTCAGAAAAAACAGTTAGGCTATTACCTGTCATAACAGTTGAAGTCATCTAACCAGCAGCCTTTCTTCACCAGCTCGATGGAGCCCGAGTTGTTTCTCCAGGAGGCGTAGCAGTGGAGCCGCTTGTCCTTCTCCCCCTCGCAGCGCTCCACACCGCTCTGGTTGGTCTTCTCCAACTCCCAGTTGGCATTGTAGTAAATGCATTCCCTTGTCTCAGCCTCCCCATGGCCTGGTCCTGAAGCAAAATGCAAACCCCAAGTAGTACGTTCAAGCAAAATCAGAAACAGATCCCAGGAGACACATCTCCACATGGCTATTCTTTAGGTGATGCATACATTTGCCTCCCTGGAAGCTAAGCAGCTCATCGTTGTGAGCTTCAGCACGGCGTGGAGGGTTATTCTCCTCTGCTGGTGTGAGGTGGGGAACAAAAAGGTCAGGTTTGCCTAGGCTCACAACAGGAGCTCACGGGGAAGTCAAGAGCTCAGCTGAGACCCCCACAAGATCTCCTCCGGCCAGTGCTTCAACCACAGAATCCAAACGGGGGGATGTACAACACATATCCAGTACTTTCTAGCCACAGAAACCCTGTTTAGGAAAGATAGCCTCCCAAGGTGCTACTTGCTGCTTGCTGGGATGTCACACAAGAGTTACTCTCCCTCTCCACCACTATTTCAGGAAAGAGCATCTAAAAATAAATGGTTTCTTACATTGGCAGGATATAACTGAGAATAGATAATATTCATCCTGCACAGGAGGGACTATTCCTCACTTAGATCCCAGTTCAGGCTTATTCGGCTAAGTCTCCATACAATAAATGCCAAGCTCACGCTGCCTCTCCACCCAAACAAGACCACCAGCAAAACCCAACTCTGTTTCCTGAAAAACTCTGTCCACCCCAAACAGACGTTTGGCCACCACAAAACAAGGAGTATCAATATCCTGTGACTCTTTTCCCCATTCGAGCCTTGTACCAAAGGACTGAGGAGTTCCTAATGCCCCAAGTGAAATAATTCCCACATGGCCCCCGCGGCACAGAACTGAAACACCATTACAGACACATCCATTAAAAACAGAGCCAAGTAAGGGAACACTGATATCTGCAGGTCACCTGTTTTGTCCTAAGCCTTAGAAATACTCTCTTCATTTGGAAATGTTTTACTTTGCAACATTTTTAGGATTAGTTTAAAATGAGAAGAAGAAGAAAACAAACACACAACACAGAAGCAGACCCCCAGAAAAGGTACCATGAAGCTTGTGATTATGTAAATGCTGAGGTGCCCTGCAGCCATCTCTCTTTGGGATTACCCAACCGAAGGCAAAGCCAGACCTGGCCATTATTTTGATGGATTGCAATCATGGAAAATGTAGGTATCCCCATAAAATGTGTTGACAACTGGGTAGAAAACATGAATGGGTCCCACAGGATGGTGAAATGAAAGTGCTGCGCTCCCAGAATAGCCAGACCTTTGCAAAGTGCAGAACAAAGTTTCTGGCTGGAAAATTTTGCAGTATTTTCATGACTCTATCTTCTCCAAAGGCCATGCATCCTTTAACATTGAGGTTAAGGCAGTCAGGGCCATGTCTGGACGGCCTAAATGCAACCCAGCCTGTGATTCCCACTCAACATGGCAAACCAGCCACTTCTGAAAGGTCTCTACAAAGCAATGCAATTCAGTCTTCATAAGACACTGAGCAGTGAGTGGCTCAGAGCCAACAGAGAAAACACCCAGTCTGGGCCAGGCACCAGCTTCAGGCCCCCAATACTTTCTATAGCTTCATCGTTTCCATACCTGAACACCCATCCACTACTGATGCAAGTACCCTCACAACATCCAGCCAGAGAAGTGAATACTGCTTCCAACTGAAGATCCAACATGCCAAGATTAAACGATTTGCCCCAAGTGAGGAGGAAGCTGGGCCTACCCTGCCTTTCCACAGCCCGCAACTCCTCAAGTTGCCAAGTCTCCAAGCTGTTACCTGGTGGCAGGATTCACCTCCAATTTTGCAGTTCACAGAAAGCACTTCAGAGATGGCGCTTGAGATAAGAGATTGCATTCAAGCTATCGAATGTAGAGTGATCTGCTGTAGGGAATCAACCTTCTGCTGCCAACAGGTGTCATCTAAGGAGTGCAGATGACCTGGGACAGAGCAGAAGTGGAACTGCAAGAAGGTAGCAGGAGAAACCATGGTTTCTGCACAAGCTAGGGGTGATGTGTCCATCCTGCTCCTGATACTGACCCCTGGACTCAGCGATGGGTAATTTTTATGGTATAGAGCAAACTCCTCAGTCTGGGAAGATCTCTTTGCAAGTTGAAGAGGTGCTCAATCCTTCAATAACTCTTTTTTGGGAAGAATGTTTAATCCGCATCGTGGGAGAGACTGAAAGGCAGGAGGGCTATGAGAAAGTCATAAAGCTGACTTCTGAAACTGGAAATTATATTCAAAGCACACACGAACAAGAGCTCAATTTCAATAGCACCTGCAGGTTTTATCGGCACTTGCAAAGCTCCGTCTGAGTTTTCCTCTGACAAGTTGCTTACTATAATAAAAACAACCTACCAATATCCCTCAACACAGAACAGTGTCAATATTGACACTTCTTGTTAAAGCCTTGATATTTGTTCTCTTGATACTTACACCATGCTTTGTTAGGGCAGATTAAGCATTTTTGCTAAATACTCGTTAGATCAGCTTTTTCAGCAGGAAAGCAAAGGGAAGGAGCATTGTCTTGCGTGTGGGAAGGGCAATATCTTTTTATTTACAAACGAATGAGTAAATATCTTAGCTTCATTGTAATACTTCACGTGGCTTCCAGCTGATACCTAATAGCTAATACTCACTATCACCTTCTCGTCCAGTCCTTGAAATGATTTTTGTAATATTATTTCCATCATCCTGAACCAAATCCTGCTTTTGCTCCAGGTGGGAATTTCCTTTTCCTCCCCAACCCCTTCTCCCAGAAAGCGGGAAGGTTTAATGAACCATTTGCCTGGGAAGCAGCCCCAAAATCTAATCCTGGCTCAGCCACCTCCGTCTCTTAACCTCGAGCAATACTATGTAGCCGCTGTTTTCTCCGCCTGCGACGAAGGCCAATGCAACGCACAGGGTTGCGGTGAGATTTGATGTTTCCACTGTGCTTTGAAAAAGGGAATGTTAAAAAGATGTGAAGCAGGAGCTTTATCGGCTCTGGGACCAGCAAACCGAGGCTGCTAAATCCTGTGCTGAGCCCAGGCTCCCTTCCCCCAAGACAGTTGTCTTTTCTGGAACAAGTTTCAGCTGAAGACTAAGATCTGCTTGCAAACACGCAAACCCAACTCGGCAAACAGCAACCGCGCCAGGAAAAAGGCCTTTCACAGTTTTTTTTTCCCCGCTGTCAAAGTTTAGACGAGTTGAACAAAAGCTCATATAAAGTTTTGGATGACTAAATATACGTATGTTTGCCTTGAAACAGCTCCTAAGGATGCTTGCATTAAGGAGACACTTTGAAAACCTGCTTGTTTGCTACCTGCTTTCAGCTCTTTTTCAAAAGCTGTTTGGTGAGGATCTTCATCCTGCTGGGGGCTCAGGA